GACGCTGCCTAGTACCTCAGTTAATCCGGACAGTAAGCTGTCTCCACCGTACTTAAATACCTCTGGAGTCATTCCATCAGGTCCCGCTGCTTTGCCTAGTTTCAGATTGGTGACAGCTTTAGTAACCTCAGTTAGTGACGGAGGACCTGTGTTTATATCCCATTCAGGGAGGTGTTGGATGCTCGGAAGGTTGAGCGTGGCTGTGGGCAAATTAAACTGCTCCTCATAATGCTCTTTCCAACGATCCAGTCGTCTATCCTGTGAGCTAATTATAGTGCCATTTTTTTCCGAGATTGTCTCACTAATGATTTGTCTTCTCCCACCCGTTTCCCTGATGAGTCCAAAGAGTTGCCTGGTGTTGCCTATCCTCGAAGCTTTCTCCATCTCTTTGGCTTTTGTCGCCCACCACTGTTCACGGTCCTTGCGGAGACTTTTCGTAAGTTTCCTCTTGTGCAGCTTTCGCTCCTCATTGAATTCGGAGCTCGCCGGAATAAGTCTTCTAGCATCTATCAGTTCGGATGAGGCGGTGGAGATCCAGTGGTTTTTACTCACCTTTGGGTTTACCTTATTCACAGCTTTTACAGCTGTATCTATGGCTGCCTGGATATTTTTCCAAGCTTCTTCAGGGTGAGCACAGCTGTCGAACACAGATATGTGTTTAGCTAGTTCTTCCTCAAATACGGATTTAGTTTCCTGATCGAGCTGGGGACGTGATGGTTTTACCGCCAGCTGTTTCCTACGTCCGTTCAGTCGTAAGCACACCCGAGCGCGGACCAGTGCATGGTCGGTATCTACGCACGTGTTCCAGAAGGAGCGACAATCTCCTACCGACCCACGCCAACGATAGCTTATTGCTATGTGGTCTATTTGTGTCCAGCGTTGGTTTGATGAAGGGGGTCTCCAAGTCAAACAGTGTCTCTCCTTGTGTTTAAAGTTAGTGCTTACAAGAAACAAATGATTATCAGAGCAGAACTGTAGGAGACGGTCACCGTTGTCGGTTCGCTGGCACGGAGCTCCATAGGTGCCACCGACATCCTTCTCAGATTGACACAATTTCCCTACTTGAGCGTTAAAGTCACCAGCTAGAACGACTATGTCTGAGCGTTTAGCCTTTCCACCAAACTAGACAGCTTTTGGTAGAACTCATCCTTCGTTTCATCTGAACTGCAGTCAGTGGGGGCGTAGGCGGAGATTACGAAAAGGCATCGGCGAGTAGTGCAGTCCTTCCTCCTTCTTACTGATCCGTTCAGGCGGACAGCACACATTCGGCTATCTACCGGGATCCAGTCAAGCAATGTCTTTTCTGCCCTAGTACTCAAAGCTATCCCTACGCCAGCTAATCCTCGTGAACTAGCTGTGGCATCTCCTGACACCCTCAAGGTGAATTTTGCAGATTCAACCTGTTGGCCAGGTGGGGTTAGGTGAATAACCACACTTGGGTCTTGTATGCGTGTTTCTGAAACACAGCATACATCAATGGCTCGTGATGCCAGGGTCTTGGCTAGTGATGCTTGTTGTCCTATTTGGCAAAGTGTCCTAACATTAAGAGCTCCTATATGAAATTGGTGGCGCGGCTTTAAGAGGCTGTCGGTGGTGGTTTTTTGGCTTCCATCGTTTTTAGTGGACGCAGAGTGGAGAGGAAGTGGAGAGCTATCAAGTCGAGGAGTTGCATCAGTGGAAGGAAGGCAAGATGATAGAGATGAAGACAAAGATGAGTGAGTAATAGAGAGGTTTCGTGTGCATTTCGGATTGTGAGGGCGATTGTTACTTCCCGGCTGCCCACACCGTGGAAGTTGGTTGCGTGACCGCAGAGCCCAGGGGACAACTGCTTGAGGCCGGTCACACGCGGCCTGTTTTTGTTCGTTCTTTTTTGTTTGGTGTGTCTCAGTAGCAGATTTATCACTCCCGCCCTGTGACACGGCAGCAGGAAGCGCGGTCGTTGTTAATCCGGGCCACGGCCGATCCGGCATGAAATTTTGTAATTGGACATGATGTTGGATTGGGTAGCTGCTTTTTGTTTAACCGCTATCCAAACAACCTGCCTGGCATGGTAGAACCTCAAGAGACATAAGTCTCAGCCAGTATAGCTTGATTAGGTCATTGCGGTGTTCAAGCCCGACCACCACGTCATGGTAGCAGCTTTCGGTCGGGTATGATGGAGGCATTGGCAATTCGTCAATACACAGGAAAAATCTGTCCAGTCTCTTATTCTACCATGGTCTTAACCTCTTTACTAGTCGTTCCTTATAAATTTTTAATGATTACTCTGCTTTTACTTTAATAATTAATTCACTATTATGACTCATATGTTCCGTTCCTACATTTTCTCACCACCTTTACACTTGTTAGATGGACACTCAACTACCTTTCTTCTTAGAACAAGATATAAAAGCGAACAATATTGTTTTTAATTAGATCTTCTTCAGGCTTTACTCTAATTTACATAGACTTATATATATAAAATTTTAACCAATGACGGTGATTTTGTGGATCAAATAATAATAGTAATCATAAGAATAATAATAATAGTAATAATAATGTGGTAAATGTTTTGAACGAAGTTAATAGCGATGATTATAATAATAACAAAATATTGTTAATAAGGCTTATATAGGTGATAAGAATAACAAAGTTAGTATATGCATATATGTAGACAATTCAATAAATAAATAAATTAGGTCAAATTAAATGGAACGATAATCAGAGTTTAAATAAATATCATAAAAGTACTAAGGAGAGGGATGATAAGAAAGGGTGGGAGGGTTTTGAATAGAATTCATCTAGGCCAAGGGAGAGACAAAGGTAGAACAAATTTCTTTTGTATACAAAGACTAGGATTGTTCTCTCGAATTCCCATAGCTTCGGCTAAGTGTAAAAGACGGGTTCTGATTCCGTTCGAAAGACTTGATGGAATGAGGTAAATAACTTTGAAAGCACTATTATTGTCCACTTGGTGACCATTATCAATCAAATGAGCCAAAATAGAACTTCGTATGGATTTTATTTGACCTTTTCCGAACCATGAAGGAAGATGCTCATTAATGCGTTTGTTAAGCTGTCCAGTTGTTCGGCCTATATAGCTTTCTCCACAGGAGCAACTAAATTTATAGATACACATGGAATTGGCACAACTAGGTAACTTATCTTTCACTTGAGCAATCAAAATTGGTCGGCTGGAAAATGACAAACAGAGGGTGGCGGCAGTGTAAGTCCGTTTTATCGCTCTCGATAATCTCTGATGTAAGACTTCACTAGCCACGTCCCCATTAAATTGCAGTTTGATGAACAGTTGTTTCTTTTTATCTGTTGTCGGTTTCTCTTTATTGTACTTAGTATTCATGTGTCTCCTGACAAATCTACTAGGATAACCCATTTGGACTAACGTATTTTGGATGTATCCTAGCTCATTCTCTAGAGTCATCTGTACAGATGCGTCTTGCTCTATTCGTCAGGCATCTGACCAAATTGATTTTGTATCGGATTGGTACATAACTGAGGAAATGTGTATATTGTCCTACAGATGTAGGTTTTCTATAGACATCTCTCTTGAGTGAACCATCCTTTCTTCTGCTCAATTGGACGTCAAGGAAATGTAGTCTACCATCATGTTCTTCTTCACAAGTGAAGATAAGCGATGGATGTGCATCGTTAAACTTTTTTAACATTTCATTCTTGTCAGCTTTCACATCAAGAATAATAAAGGTATCATCAACATAACGAAAATAAGAATCAGCTTTTTCTATTACTTTTTTCAATGGACCATTTTCAATCTTGGCAAGAAAGAAATCTGCTAAAATTGGCCCCAACGGAGAACCCATGGCAATACCGTCGATTTGCCTGTAGTAAAGGTTGTTAAATATGAAATGTACATTCATAGCACACCTTAAAAGCAACTCTTTCAGACTACTAACCGGTATTCTGATGTCAATCTGTTTTTCTAGTATCTGTTGGCATATGAATTCCACAGTCTCCATAAGTGGTACATTGGTAAACAGTGATGCTACATCGAGGGAAAGCATTTGCTTCCCATTTACATTAATACCATCCACGTTAGCAATAAATTCAAAAACGTCTTTAACACTATGACTTACTACCATCTTGTGTAATGGCTGGAGGAGTTCACCTAGCCACTTTACCACTCCATGGTAGGTAGAGTTTGACATATCCAGGACTGGGCGAAGAGGAAGTCCTGGTTTATGTATTTTGGGCAGACCGTACAGACGTGAAGTATTACTTCCAGTAGGTTTAAGACGGTTATATGCTGCCTCTGAGATTATTCCGCTTTTTCTCAGTTCCTTAAGCGTGTTGGTGAACTGCTTTTCAGACTTTCCGTCCAGATCTATTGGGTTAATACGGTTTTGGAACTTCGTTTCATCATTTAGAAGCGAATTCATTTTGTCAACATAATCACACTTATTTATCAATACTACTCCGTCTCCTTTATCAGGTCTACTGATTATAATGCTTTCATCGTTCCTTAACTTTCTTAGGGCTTCTCGATGCTGTTTAGTCAGTAAACTCTCACTAGAATGACTATTGTTTTTATACTGTTGACAGCTGTCGACTAGTGTTGTTTTCTTCTCACTACTCAATAACAATTTTGACCTTACCAAATTGCTAACCCTTTCTTCCTTTGTACCGTTGAGTATTACGTAATTTATAACTTATTTTTACTTCTGAAGCCACTTCTAAGTAATCAAACCAATTATGTCACCCCTATTACCCAATAATGGACTGCTATAAGTTTTTGGTAAATATAAGTACGACTGTACAACCTCTGAAGATGATATCATCGATAAATTAAAAAATTTCAAAATATGTTTATTTGACAATTAATATTTACAAGACTACAAACCAGTACTGATAGATACTGATTCATACCTTTTTAATGTACAGGTCATTTTGATACAGCGGCAACAGTAACAAGGAGATCCAGGGCAGATAATCAAAAGCACAGACACACTAGAAAATGCTTATAAATATTATACACTATATCATGTCTATGTAGTATCCATTTTATTAGAATCATTTTCATGTACAGATTTTGAAGTTTCAACATTCATTAAATCATCTATATTTGAAGACAGTGGTTCATCATCTAAAAGAAATAATATTTTTTGTTAGTATCTTTTATCATTATTTAAACCAACCTTCTACAATTTTCTGTAATCCTTTAAGGGCAACAAGGAATAGATGGAATTGTGTTTTTCTAAGTTTAATCTTTTGGTCGTATTCTTCATTTAACTTTTCTAGTCGTTCCAAAGTAGCCTTTAATTTAGTATATTTTCTGAATAAGGAAAGTAGGAAATATTTTTTAATATCAAGAATAATACATGAGACAAGCAATGAAATATACATAATAAATTTGCTAGTAATAACACACCTAACAAAGAGTTATCATGAGTATGTCTTCCTTAAAGAAAACGGAAAGGAATACAATCGACTCCCGATAATACTTTAATGTATATTATTTACCTCATTGAAACATAATGCCATATATATATATATATATATATATATATATATATATATAAACAATGAAAATGTTTAAAGCACATTGTGCAATCAGATCAACTCAACGAGTGCTGCATAAACCCTATTGATAATCGTCATTTTCTAATGCTTAGAGATTAATAATAATAATTCGCTTTATCGCAAAATAGTACTTGTGATACACAATGGAATTCTCAGCATTTTTCTACAGTATTGCATCCAGTTAGTGCATTAACAATGTATAAAATTCTACATAGATTAAGGGTAATCTTGGTTAGTTTTGACATATTAGTATGTCGCTAGCAAGGCCAAAATTAAACAGTGTTTGAAGGTGTTAGAAAAGCAGATGCTACCATATTTACTGGCGTAAGCGGTAACAAAAAGGTTGAGATATACAGAGTGTGAAAGAACGAAGAAGAATGTTTAAAATAGAATTTGTAAGGAAGAAAGAAACAAAGTACCATATAACAGAAAAAAGAGAAAAGGAAAAGAAAGAAAGAAAAACGTTGTACCTATAAATGATATGAGTTAGAAAGACGAGATCCAGTTGCTCTACTGACTATTTAATAAGTTATAGGTATCACGCCTAGTGCTTTCTTTATCGCACAGAACACGAGCCAAGTAGGGTATGGTTGAGTTTTTGTACTTACTAGTGCGAGCATATAGTTTTCTATATAGGCTTCTGGTTCTGCCTGATGAGACACAAGGGGAGAGTTGTGAATGAAGAGGGTGGTGAGAGTTAGATAAAATGGATTGAGCCCATTTATCACATGACTCCATGTGCCTGTCAACCAGAATATTAACAAGCTGGTTAAGTGACACATTGCTTACCCTACTGACAACCTTTAACATCCTAAGTAATAAGGTATAGTCTTTCTTCAGTAGCCCTGGAAAACCTAAGGGGGAACAATAGAGAATAATAGGCAGGATGCAAGAGTTAACGAATCGTAGGAGTAAGGTTTGGGTTATTCCAGAATATCTTAACTTCTTGATGTAGTAGGTAAGACGGAATATTTTCTTAGAAATCATCAAGATATGAGACGACCGGGAGAGATCAGTAGATAGAATGACGCCAAGATACTTAATTTCTGACTTGGTCTCTATCTATGTTGCACACCTCGTGGGTGCTAACCAGTTTTTTAGGTCAGATTCATACCTAAAGGTGAAATTGACTGTTCGGTATTTAGAAGGATTCAAGGTTAGACCATTTCCCTTGGACCACTGGCTGATTTCTGATAATAAACCATTTAGTTTGAAGCAGTCACTTTGACGCTTGACAGGCAAAGATACAGTTAGGTCGTCAGCATATTTAGCAAAATTAATGTCATTTGAAGATGGTGAGTCATGTAGAAAGAAAGAAAAGTGGGGAGACTACAGCACCTTGGGGGACACCAGCTTCAGTGAGCACAGCAGAGGATTGACGCGATTACTGCCTAGCCCTACAAGCCTAAGCATATGAGCAAGAATTCTACCTAGTCTTTCAAAGTAGGACGCTATCCTGATGAAGATAGGAATATCTTTTAATCAAGATCAAAAATATTGGCCTTTAAGGATAACACGAGAAGCACTCAGATATAAGAAATCTGCCCTAATTTATCGTGACAATGACTAATTAAATTTGTAATGGATTGAAAGACAAAAATAAATCAAAACTGAGAATACACCAGTTAAAAGTATTTATTTCAGTTTCAATATGACATGATCAGATTCTGGTTGAAACAGAGGATATAAAGTTTCGAAATTTACTACGACATTACGATTCACGCTATTTTCGTAATGCAAGTAATATTAGTTAGTTACAATAAATTTTTATGTGGTAAACAGTAAGACACACTTCTTGTGTGATGGTTGGTGATGCTACCCGGTCTAGACACAAAGGATGTATGTTGAACAAACCACATCTCCATATCAGTACTTCTATAATTGAAATACCTAATCAACTACAACTCTAGCACGCCAATAATAAGAATGGTCAAGTTTGTGAGTAAAATCAGAGGTGAAGGAAGTGAGAATAATCAACGGAAACAAGAACTCACTTTGTGTACAAGAAAATGCACCAAATAAACGAGATCTTTTAAAAACCAAAAGCCAGCCTAGACGAAGTTTCCTTATTTATCAGGACACATTTGATACATTATGGCCGCCAAAAGACGTGCCACACAAAATCTCAGTTTCAGTAAGGGCTAGGATACTGCTAGAACATCCACAACGAAACAGGTCAGACGCTGAAAGAACATGCGTATAAGACGGAAACTAAGGCGAGAGTATCATTCATCCAGTGAAGATGTATAGGAACTCCAGCACGCGAATATAAACCATATATATATATATATATATATATATATAATATGACAGGTTTGAGCATTTTACATAAATGAAATAAGCAAAGAGTGTATCAGACATTTTCAAGACAAATACGCTACGAAGAGATATTTTAAAAACTTACTCAAGTGTTTTATGCCTTTCTGGATGTTCAGACAAAACTTTGGCAAGGCTGTCATACTCTATCAAAATAAACTTCGTATAAATGAAAATTACCTCGTCTGTTTTTCCTAACAGTCTTCGCAGACCTCAGGTCTTCTTTGCACTGCTGAATGCGATTTTTTGCACTTTCAATAGCATTCTCTGTGGATACAAGTTGTACTGATCTAACTTACCAATCTCTTTATACAGATCTTCATACTGCTTCTGCTGCTCATAGTTCATGGCTATTACCAAAGACGACTGTTCCATGGCATTTTCACACTGGCAAACACTAGCTATGAGAGCTTGGTAGGCCTCATAACTGAGTATATCAACAATCTCAGGAAATGCTTACCCATCTTCACCAACATCATCAGAAGCTACCCATCGTAAGTAATTCTTCAGTAGCAGAGTAATTCTACGATCATCATTACCGCTTTCTCCTTCTATTAGTAGTTTTCGCTTTATAATTTCATCTTCAAAAATCACACTGCTTTTATTAGAGACAAACCATCCGTGACAGTAGACATCTGAATGATCCTAAGATCGCCTACTGATGAAGTGGGAGTGACAAATGGCGCACAGCTCAAATAGGATGAAAACAGAGGACGTTCAGTTGTCTTTGTACGACTTGTAATCGAAACCGGTTTTTCAGCCGCTAATTGCAGTCCTAATTGCAGTCATCCAAAAAATATAAAAATAAAATCTGTAAACTACTACTGTGGACTACAAGTTTAGGTGCATATATTTAAAGTGATTTCGTAAAATTGTGTACTATTGATTGACTGGGATAGTAGTTGCACACTACTCACATCAACCGGCAGTCCTTGACAGCTAGATCGAGGTGATCTAAACATCGTACGTTCGTTTGGGGTCGAGCTCAACTGCCTATCGGGTTTGACTCCGCTCAAAAAGCCGAATCAGCAGACACCACCTGAGTTCTGGTTAACTGCTTGATGGGACTGGTCATGCCACAAATTAAATTCAGTCTGCAAACTGATTAGCAATTTGCAATTAACACAGTTCGAGTGATTTAGAATCACAACCCGGGAAAAGAACAGAATGGCAGTATAAAATGGAAAGCACAACACTGTGAAACAGCATACGATACAAGAAATGGAGGCTACATGTAAAAATCGTCCAGTAATAACAACAGTAGTACATAAAGCTGTACTATTCTCTGAGTAGGTAGAACCTGAGAGCTTCAGATTTTATGTTTCTTCCTGTATTAAAGCACTCCACAGCCCTTGACTATATGAATTTCACCCATTTGTCTTTACTAACACTGAGCGTTGTGTAACGCTACATCTTATTTTGGCATAAGCTGTTTGTCTGTTTACTCCCAGAAAAACAATCACGATAGTGTCAAGTCAAAAAATTACTTTGGTTTGTTAGCTAAATAGTCATGACAACACATCAATACATAAACTAGGTAAAATATTCCCCAATATACTCAAAGCATCAGCAGATAATATTAAAAAATAATAATCAAGTTAAATATGAGATCTATAATCAAAAGTTTAACTATAGCGGTCACTTCAGTACACGGCCTTTGACTAGCAATTAGATTAGTAATTTAGTCACACAAAATTAAGCCTCCTGTTCTGGATCTGCTTGAGGAGTCCCCAAGAGGGTCACGTGTTTGACTACTGTGTAAACAATGGATCCACTGGAGTAACTACGGTGCATGAAAGGGAGAAGCTTGACAGGATAACTGGCCTTTTGGTAAGGTTTCAGTCTAGGGTAGATCAGAGAAAAGAGTCAACAAAGTTAACGGACCAGAGAACACTATGGAAAGCTAACGATCTGAATGGTCGTTGCTGGTGAACCTTGAGTGTGGCAACTTTTACTAGGAATAGATACTACTATAGTAGTATCTATAAGTTAGTAGCTACTAATTTATAGTTGCCTAAATCCAGAAAGCATCGCTTAACTTCGTTATACAACCTTTAAATTTGATTGGAATCAGAAGGCGTGTACTAGGATGGCTCCTATAAAGTTATTCACATATGCTCGAACAACGCCAAAGTGAGTTCACTTACGGAACCGTTCGGATTCACTTATGCCGCCGTGGGATTTAGGTCCTCATCCAGGTTGTGACAATTTTGTGCAATTTTGCGTATTTGTTGGGAAAATCAAAATAAGATGTTTCAAGAAAATGTCTTCCTTGGGAAAAAACTAAATGTTTGTTTATCTATTCTAGACTAGCGAATAAAAAATTTCGACGTCACATAGCTGCTCTGAACGACTTTCATCTAACTGATCGACTTTTGGAAACTTAAAACTGAAATGCGAATTTATCTCAGTTAGTGCCGACGGTTTAATAAATAAGTTCTAAGTGAAGAAGAGCTATCACCATGTAATTCACTTGAGTATCCGAACAATAGTGTTGACATATGTGCATCTGGATTAAATCTTTCTTCCAAAAAAACTCGCATGGTTTAGAATTCAGTCCTTAATCAATAAAGAGAGGACATATAGCTTGCGACCCTACTTTGGAAAACTTATCCAAATCTACAGGAACTTCACAGCATAGAAAAAATAAAAGATTCTTTGGTTGAACTAGGAAGACGAAATGCCACGGACTGGCGAAAGCCTTTGAGAAGCCAATCAGCTGATTTGTTTTCTTCCGATAAAAGCAAAATTAAGTGTGAGGAAATAGAATGTTCGCATGATGGTTGAAGCTGAGAAGGCCACTCAGATTGTCAAAGGGATGAGAAGATACGGTGTAGGAGTCCTCGGAATGTGCGCTGATGAAATAAAAACTGAGCCGGAGTGTGAATAACTTACTGTGGTCACAGAGGCGACACAGAAGACCCCACTGACTGCGTGGCTAATATAATGTTACCGGTGACATCGAAAGCTCCTACTCATTGGCGACCAGTCTTCTCCAGATTTATGACAACAAGATTCAATCGAAAGGAAGGAAGGGGAAATACAACTGTCCAATTCTACTTACAACATACAAATCAAGGGAATGAAAAAGAAGAATTTCACAGATAACTGTAAACGGCAACAGGTGACATCCCAAATGGGAACATCAAGATCCTAATAGACGATATGAATGCAGGCCAACTTGGTAGCAAATGATACCAGACGAGAATTCATCATCGGTCGAGAGACCTTCGGAGAAATGAATGAAAACAGAAAATCGTGGCAGATTTCTGATCCTTCAATGATTTGGTAGACGAGGATAACGTGCACAAATTCAGGGATATACACAGAGGAGCACAGGTTTTATCTGGTGAACACAACAAAAATCAGGTAGACTTCATCTCGATAGTGCACAAAAAGTGGAGTATTAGTCTATTGGACACAAAGTTGAAATGGGGAGCAGATATTGGCTCAGCCTATTATATAGTGAAATGAACCTTCATCGTAAAGTTGAAAGCTTTCTAAGCAACTGGAGGTAGACCACAATCGAGTGCAATACACTCAGGAACTAAACGATAAAACATCAAAGGATATCTTCATTGAAGTCATTAAAGCAGTCAAAGATATTTCATAAAGCAGGCCCGGAAGCTCATTATGCATAAGTGAAGGCACTGAAGAAAACGTGATGATCTTTTATATCGCGATTCTACTTCAACTTTAATGGGCTTGTAGAGCGGCCTTAAAGTAACAGGTTTTGAAAGCCACGTCTCATAAACCGTTAATGCCCAGCTCTTGCTACGCTCGGGCCCACGCTGTTCCTTGCAGTTTTTCAGAAACGCTTAGTAATAACGGACGAAAAACCAAAACACCGATTGGCCGCTTGGGAATTCTTCATTGTAACACCAACATATAAAAAATATTTCTATTAAGGTCTGTGAACAAATATTACAATAATAAATCACAAGATTACTTCTGATGGTTTGCTACTGACTTCTTTCTGAACAGCGACCGATGAGACGATGACTGTCGTATTGATGCCTCCGCGAAAATTGGGGAAGTTGATTTTGAGCAAACAACCAAGAATTGATCGTTCAATCTTCAACTCCATTGACACTCCCCGGCAAAAATGGGATCCAACCCTTTTTTCCTTCACGACCAATACACGTTGACTTGGATGCCATTGCGAGAACCTGGGTCACACGGACAGAGCTGAAATGGAAAACAAACAGAAAAACCAACACACCACAAGCATACTCACAGCACAATCTCACACATCGCTGACGACCTGCGCCTCCAGACAGAGACCTCCTCTTGACATCTTGCAACACAATCGCCACTTGCTAGAATGACTCTTGCAGAATGCAACGTGACCATAGCACCAACTCATGATACTCCACGCACATCCCCTTATCTACTCACTACCAATTACCACTGCAATCGCTTGTCACTCATTCTGCCTCAGTTCTAGTAGCGGTGACGCATGCGAGCCTCAGTCGTTTACACTCTTTCTCCCCGGTGTGTCGGACCGCAGCTAACAATTATCTCCGTGTGCATTTCATTCTCAGCAATAGCCTCCCCGGCGTATACGCCCCATCTGCTGTCTCTAACATCAATCAATTCATTCACGGATGTAGAAGAGTGGACACAACTTCAGAAGTAATCACGACGAAAATTTTAACAAAATTATGCAATAACAACAAGATACGAAAACAACAAGTAAACACAATGAATCCAAAAACACCAATTGATATGACACACCACACGTATATACAAATAGTACAAACAACCTCGCCGATCATGTCTTGGTGGAATTCCTTTGAAGAATTGCAGGACTTACACCAGTACGCCTACAACCCTTCTCAGGTTGACGATTGTAATTTGTGGAATGTCCGGACACAAACAAGATTAACCAACAATTACGATAATTGGAACTCACACAACTATTTAACACAAACATATGTACAATCACTACATCAAATGTTGTGGATTCCGGCATGACAAACTACCCTTGAAGAACTGTAGGACTTACAGCAGTACGCCTACATTCCTTCTCAGGTTGATGATCCAAGTGGAAGTCGTCCGGACACAAACAGAATTACCAACAGCTAGATGACAGATGATATCAATTCAGTATATACAATATGAACATATGTACAAAATCACACACCGAGCACATTGGACTGCTCATTGATGCGCTACCCTTTGAAGAATTGTAGGACTTACAGCAGTACGCCTACAACCCTTCTCAGGTTGACGCTCTAGGTTGGAAAATCGTCGCAGAGTTCATTTGCTAACTTCCTTCTATGAGCTATATCCTCAAATCTGAACGGCAACACGCCCATGTCATTGTATCGTAGAATATAGATGACCAACAAACACACGACATATCTGATCAACCAAGCGTAGGCACAGAGTAATTTACACCAAAGATAATAGCATTCAAATAGTAACTTGAAACTAGAAATGCCTTTATTCATGCAAGTCAATTTAACAATTACTCTCTCCTTTACACTTGGCTTATCCTCACTAAACTGAGCAATATCTTTCGTCTCTTCAAGTGCACCAATACTGTCATAGTCATTGCACAAGATACTTGAGTTGATGGGCGTCTTTTTCATTGTGGATGACAGCACCAACGACGACTGATTGATATCAGTTGATGAAGTTAGCGGTGGATCAGAAGCTGTTGTTGCTCGGCTTTCAGAAGTTTGTCTACCTGCAAGACCACCACCACTGCTGTCTTTTACTATCAGCTCAGGTTTAGCACTAGCATCTGATGATAGGTGGGCTACATGCTGATCAATCACACTGACGGTCTCACAAGTACGCATGCCTTCTGCAACTGCATCTGCATTTATTTCTACTTCACGTTCAAGTTGTACAGAACCCTTGTTCAACTTAGCAGTAGTAGGCATATCCCTCATCTCATAATGATCAACCAAAGACAAATCTGCACTATCATGATCATTATCACGAATATTCACTTTACCGTCAACTTCATCATTTTCAAACTCTTTAATAACAGAAGTAGACAATTTTGGTTCCTCCTCGCAAATCCTAAAAGGTTTTATAACTTCACTCTGACTAGTAACACCTTGTAAACTTGTAGGGTCAGAACTGCACTCTGAAGCAGCAACTCTATTCTGTGACACTCTATTCAACAATGGCTTACCAGTTGCAACTACAGACTTCTTCACCGCACCGTTATCGTCACACAATTCGGAGTCAGGCCTGGAGTTTACATTTAGCTTATCACTGAACTTGCTCACTGGTTCACAGTTCACCATTATATGCACCTCTTGCAAACGTGTAAAACACAACCGTGTTTGTCTTGCATCTTGCAACTTATCTGTTGAGGATGTACTACGAAACCTGTTACACTCACTAGATCTATATGCATTACTAGACATCATGGAGCCTTCTCGATATCCACCTCTCTGAGGCCTATTCGTCATCAATGATTGCGTTTTACTCTCAGACTGCTCTATTCTAGGGGTGAGATGTAATAGACTGGCGAAATTGCTCATAGATTGATTGACACTATCTTTTACCAGTTTCAGGATATCATCAAACTTTGGCTCGATACCCTCATCCTCCATACGGGAGCTCATCTTCACCCACTTCCTTTGCAGTCGAGTAGGTAGGCGTCTTGCTATTACTTCTAGTATAAAACTCGAGTTGAGGTCACTCATGCGATTCATCGAAATCATTCCATTCTTGTAAATTAGCAAATTATCTAAAAACTCAGTGAGTGCCTGGGAGTCATCCTGTAATTGACCACCATTACCCTTAACAGCCTCGAATAATTTCCCTGCAATCATCGAAGGTCTTCCAAACCTTTGACGTAATATGCTCATAGCCTCGTAGTAGCCCTCTTTTGGCTTCATAAACTTACAGCACTGTATAGCTCTTGCAGCATCTCCAGTGCAATATCTCATCAAATACATTAACTTCAATTCATCACTTAATAGAAAACTACTCAACATGATCTCAAACTCCTTTACAAATTGTAAATAATCAGCTGGGTTTCCATCAAAACACCGTGGTTCAAATTTAGGGAGTTTGATGTTCCTATTATCCCTGAACGGCGAAACAGTAACATCAACCATGTCATGCTTAACATCAGACACATCGTTACAAGTAACAGACAAGTCACAATGACTTACTTTCCTGTTTGCATCCAAGACGCTCTGTCCCTTCTTTGACCCAGGCATTGTTGAACTTGACCCAATTCCAAAAAAGTTCCAGATATTGCTTGTTCAAAGAGGACTTGACCGGCACCAGGAAAGATGAACGGTGACTATCCAAACTTTCACCAACTGTCTGAATCCACCGGAATCTGCTTCTACCATCAAAAACTGTCAGCCACGTCTCATAAACCGTTAATGCCCAGCTCTTGCTACGCTCGGGCCCACGCTGTTCCTTGCAGTTTTTCAGAAACGCTTAGTAATAACGGACGAAAAACCAAAACACCGATTGGCCGCTTGGGAATTCTTCATTGTAACACCAACATATAAAAAATATTTCTATTAAGGTCTGTGAACAAATATTACAATAATAAATCACAAGATTACTTCTGATGGTTTGCTACTGACTTCTTCCTGAACAGCGACCGATGAGACGATGACTGTCGTATTGATGCCTCCGCGAAAATTGGGGAAGTTGATTTTGAGCAAACAACCAAGAATTGATCGTTCAATCTTCAAGTCCATTGACGGCTTTAGTTGAATAATCCATTTCCACCATTATAAGACGTATGTTTCACCAAATGGGTTGTTCTACAGCAATCTTTTTCCACATACCTCTTAAAATAACTCCTGCGGTTAGGAAATACTGAGAAACTACTCGTAATAGGCCAAACTTAAAGGCATAACTGTTGACAACTCAACGTACATCGAATGCATACTCGTCCGACACAAATAGTAGATGCCCTATATTCGGGAGTCATCCTGAACAACTAAAGGATATTCGAAACCCACTTAGTCAGTCGAAAGCCAGCCCCAGCTGAAGCTTGTCCAGCACATGGTATGAAGCGTGCTGCAAAATCATCCCCTTAAAAAGACGTCACGTAAACGAATGTCAGTTGCATCCTTCGTATGTCCAGAGCTGAGTGCATAAAGCTTTGTGCATGGCGAAATTGACAAAACCAGTGAGGGCACATCGCCAAACAGATGAACTGTCACTCTATATTCGGAAATTTCCCCTGCTTGCCATTTTCTAGCCGCAAAAACCTCAAGAAGTATCTAGCACTAATTTACACCCTTAAGCTGTAAGAACGTCTCTGATTTTAGCTGCTTTTCTATCTCTAAGAGAATGCATAGTGTCCAAGATACTGCCAACATGAAAGCCTTGTTATACACATTATAAGTGATAGCTTCTGACGTAGTCTGAAACGTTAGTTCTCAGTGCTGAACCTTTCGCTCTCTAACCAAGCTGTATTTTCGTTGCGCATAAGTTTACTTTAACTTAGTCTCTCCCTCCGACAACCTAGTGTGTTTCTCGGGCTTTACACTAGACAAGTAGTCCCACTCGGCTGCCGTGAATTGTAGGTAAGAGTGTATCACGGAGGATGGGTTTTCTGACGACTTACTCCTCACATAATGTAGTCTACTTATCCTGGACATAATATTATTTGTGTTATCGTACCCCTTATATTGGTATCATCTTGTACTGAAAGTATTTCCGAAAATATCTGACCAGATGAATCCCAAATAGCCCGTTTTTCTTTGTGACAGACATGGACAGAAATCGCACATTTTTGTGTACAATAATATTAAAAGCATTATTCCAAACAGTATATATGGTACAGGTATGGAATTTTCAGCGTGCACTACAATATTGCATCTAATTACCTCATAAATTTTGCAAGATTTTTAAAATCGGAAATCAAAAAAGCAACGCCAAAAAAATAAAAGATAAATAAAAAATAAAAACAACAGTGTAGCGTTTACATTTCAAACACTGCACCACAGGATATGAAAAGATAGAAAAGCAGCTAAAATCAGAGACGTTCTTACAGCTTAAGGGTGTAAATTAGTGCTAGATACTTCTTGAGGTTTTTGCGGCTAGAAAATGGCAAGCAGGGGAAATTTCCGAATATAGAGTGACAGTTCATCCGTTTGGCGATGTGCCCTCACTGGTTTTGTCAATTTCGCCATGCACAAAGCTTTATGCACTCAGCTCTGGACATACGAAGGATGCAACTGACATTCGTTTACGTGACGTCTTTTTAAGGGGATGATTTTGCAGCACGCTTCATACCATGTGCTGGACAAGCTTCAGCTGGGGCTGGCTTTCGACTGACTAAGTGGGTTTCGAATATCCTTTAGTTGTTCAGGATGACTCCCGAATATAGGGCATCTACTATTTGTGTCGGACGAGTATGCATTCGATGTACGTTGAGTTGTCAACAGTTATGCCTTTAAGTTTGGCCTATTACGAGTAGTTTCTCAGTATTTCCTAACCGCAGGAGTTATTTTAAGAGGTATGTGGAAAAAGATTGCTGTAGAACAACCCATTTGGTGAAACATACGTCTTATAATGGTGGAAATGGATTATTCAACTAAAGCCGTCAATGGACTTGAAGATTGAACGATCAATTCTTGGTTGTTTGCTCAAAATCAACTTCCCCAATTTTCGCGGAGGCATCAATACGACAGTCATCGTCTCATCGGTCGCTGTTCAGGAAGAAGTCAGTAGCAAACCATCAGAAGTAATCTTGTGATTTATTATTGTAATATTTGTTCACAGACCTTAATAGAAATATTTTTTATATGTTGGTGTTACAATGAAGAATTCCCAAGCGGCCAATCGGTGTTTTGGTTTTTCGTCCGTTATTACTAAGCGTTTCTGAAAAACTGCAAGGAACAGCGTGGGCCCGAGCGTAGCAAGAGCTGGGCATTAACGGTTTATGAGACGTGGCTGACAGTTTTTGATGGTAGAAGCAGATTCCGGTGGATTCAGACAGTTGGTGAAAGTTTGGATAGTCACCGTTCATCTTTCCTGGTGCCGGTCAAGTCCTCTTTGAACAAGCAATATCTGGAACTTTTTTGGAATTGGGTCAAGTTCAACAATGCCTGGGTCAAAGAAGGGACAGAGCGTCTTGGATGCAAACAGGAAAGTAAGTCATTGTGACTTGTCTGTTAATTGTAACGATGTGTCTGATGTTAAGCATGACATGGTTGATGTTACTGTTTCGCCGTTCAGGGATAATAGGAACATCAAACTCCCTAAATTTGAACCACGGTGTTTTGATGGAAACCCAGCTGATTATTTACAATTTGTAAAGGAGTTTGAGATCATGTTGAGTAGTTTTCTATTAAGTGATGAATTGAAGTTAATGTATTTGATGAGATATTGCACTGGAGATGCTGCAAGAGCTATACAGTGCTGTAAGTTTATGAAGCCAAAAGAGGGCTACTACGAGGCTATGAGCATATTACGTCAAAGGTTTGGAAGACCTTCGATGATTGCAGGGAAATTATTCGAGGCTGTTAAGGGTAATGGTGGTCAATTACAGGATGACTCCCAGGCACTCACTGAGTTTTTAGATAATTTGCTAATTTACAAGAATGGAATGATTTCGATGAATCGCATGAGTGACCTCAACTCGAGTTTTATACTAGAAGTAATAGCAAGACGCCTACCTACTCGACTGCAAAGGAAGTGGGTGAAGATGAGCTCCCGTATGGAGGATGAGGGTATCGAGCCAAAGTTTGATGATATCCTGAAACTGGTAAAAGATAGTGTCAATCAATCTATGAGCAATTTCGCCAGTCTATTACATCTCACCCCTAGAATAGAGCAGTCTGAGAGTAAAACGCAATCATTGATGACGAATAGGCCTCAGAGAGGTGGATATCGAGAAGGCTCCATGATATCTAGTAATGCATATAGACCTAGTGAGTGTAACAGGTTTCGTAGTACATCCTCAACAGATAAGTTGCAAGATGCAAGACAAACACGGTTGTGTTTTACACGTTTGCAAGAGGTGCATATAATGGTGAACTGTGAACCAGTGAGCAAGTTCAGTGATAAGCTAAATGTAAACTCCAGGCCTGACTCCGAATTGTGTGACGATAACGGTGCGGTGAAGAAGTCTGTAGTTGCAACTGGTAAGCCATTGTTGAATAGAGTGTCACAGAATAGAGTTGCTGCTTCAGAGTGCAGTTCTGACCCTACAAGTTTACAAGGTGTTACTAGTCAGAGTGAAGTTATAAAACCTTTTAGGATTTGCGAGGAGGAACCAAAATTGTCTACTTCTGTTATTAAAGAGTTTGAAAATGATGAAGTTGACGGTAAAGTGAATATTCGTGATAATGATCATGATAGTGCAGATTTGTCTTTGGTTGATCATGATGAGATGAGGGATATGCCTACTACTGCTAAGTTGAACAAAGGTTCTGTACAACTTGAACGTGAAGTAGAAATAAATGCAGATGCAGTTGCAGAAGGCATGCGTACTTGTGAGACCGTCAGTGTGATTGATCAGCATGTAGCCCACCTATCATCAGATGCTAGTGCTAAACCTGAGCTGATAGTAAAAGACAGCAGTGGTGGTGGTCTTGCAGGTAGACAAACTTCTGAAAGCCGAGCAACAACAGCTTCTGATCCACCGCTAACTTCATCAACTGATATCAATCAGTCGTCGTTGGTGCTGTCATCCACAATGAAAAAGACGCCCATCAACTCAAGTATCTTGTGCAATGACTATGACAGTATTGGTGCACTTGAAGAGACGAAAGATATTGCTCAGTTTAGTGAGGATAAGCCAAGTGTAAACGAGAGAGTAATTGTTAAATTGACTTGCATGAATAAAGGCATTTCTAGTTTCAAGTTACTATTTGAATGCTATTATCTTTGGTGTAAATTACTCTGTTTCTACGCTTGGTTGATGAGATATGTCGTGTGTTTGTCGGTCATCTATATTCTACGATACAATGACATGGGCGTGTTGCCGTTCAGATTTGAGGATATAGCTCATAGAAGGAAGTTAGCAAATGAACTCTGCGACGATTTTCCAACCTAGAGCGTCAACCTGAGAAGGGTTGTAGGCGTACTGCTGTAAGTCCTACAATTCTTCAAAGGGTAGCGCATCAATGAGCAGTCCAATGTGCTCGGTGTGTGATTTTGTACATATGTTCATATTGTATATACTGAATTGATATCATCTGTCATCTAGCTGTTGGTAATTCTGTTTGTGTCCGGACGACTTCCACTTGGATCATCAACCTGAGAAGGAATGTAGGCGTACTGCTGTAAGTCCTACAGTTCTTCAAGGGTAGTTTGTCATGCCGGAATCCACAACATTTGATGTAGTGATTGTACATATGTTTGTGTTAAATAGTTGTGTGAGTTCCAATTATCGTAATTGTTGGTTAATCTTGTTTGTGTCCGGACATTCCACAAATTACAATCGTCAACCTGAGAAGGGTTGTAGGCGTACTGGTGTAAGTCCTGCAATTCTTCAAAGGAATTCCACCAAGACATGATCGGCGAGGTTGTTTGTACTATTTGTATATACGTGTGGTGTGTCATATCAATTGGTGTTTTTGGATTCATTGTGTTTACTTGTTGTTTTCGTATCTTGTTGTTATTGCATAATTTTGTTAAAATTTTCGTCGTGATTACTTCTGAAGTTGTGTCCACTCTTCTACATCCGTGAATGAATTGATTGATGTTAGAGACAGCAGATGGGGCGTATACGCCGGGGAGGCTATTGCTGAGAATGAAATGCACACGGAGATAATTGTTAGCTGCGGTCCGACACACCGGGGAGAAAGAGTGTAAACGACTGAGGCTCGCATGCGTCACCGCTACTAGAACTGAGGCAGAATGAGTGACAAGCGATTGCAGTGGTAATTGGTAGTGAGTAGATAAGGGGATGTGCGTAGAGTATCATGAGTTGGTGCTATGGTCACGTTGCATTCTGCAAGAGTCATTCTAGCAAGTGGCGATTGTGTTGCAAGATGTCAAGAGGAGGTCTCTGTCTGGAGGCGCAGGTCGTCAGCGATGTGTGAGATTGTGCTGTGAGTATGCTTGTGGTGTGTTGGCTTTTCTGTTTGTTTTCCATTTCAGCTCTGTCCGTGTGACCCAGGTTCTCGCAATGGCATCCAAGTCAACGTGTATTGGTCGTGAAGGAAAAAAGGGTTGGATCCCATTTTTGCCGGGGAGTGTCAATGGAGTTGAAGATTGAACGATCAATTCTTGGTTGTTTGCTCAAAATCAACTTCCCCAATTTTCGCGGAGGCATCAATACGACAGTCATCGTCTCATCGGTCGCTGTTCAGGAAGAAGTCAGTAGCAAACCATCAGAAGTAATCTTGTGATTTATTATTGTAATATTTGTTCACAGACCTTAATAGAAATATTTTTTATATGTTGGTGTTACAATGAAGAATTCCCAAGCGGCCAATCGGTGTTTTGGTTTTTCGTCCGTTATTACTAAGCGTTTCTGAAAAACTGCAAGGAACAGCGTGGGCCCGAGCGTAGCAAGAGCTGGGCATTAACGGTTTATTAGACGTGACTGACATATGGTTTTGTGGAGTTTTTGCATTTGGGAGTCCTAGCAAGTTACCTGAGAGCCTACTGTGTGGCGTGATGAGATATTTATAAAACGACTGCTCGAGTAGGTCTCTTGTAATTAATGGCTCAACCACAAGAACAACGACATATCTTTTGCAGTCACGGACAGGCTACTAACTTGCATCGAGGAATTTACTGTTGTTGGGGATGAAAAATAAAAATTAACTACATAATATCTTACTGGAAGCCAGTACAAAATAGTGATCTGGGAAATCATTTAGTTAGGTTTACTGAACGACTGTCAGCTGGCTTCCAATCTCCCTCAAATAGAAATAACAGTCACGGTCGCCATATTACGATCTATCCTGGTAGACCTGAGCTTCGGCCGCACTTACTACCAACTGTTTAGTTTGGTCCACCCACCCAATGGCCCATACAATTCTTAACACCCCTACTACTAATGAAGGGAGAATTTAGGCAAATCAGAAAAAGGTGCATTGTTTTAACGACGTTATGGTATGAAGAGTGTACGGAGACACACAATCACACCACAGAGCAGACATCGAGCTATTGTTTCCTGAAAATCCTATTATGTAGCATGTGTTTCAATTCTTACAGATGAACAAACTGATGGTTAAAGGTGGGACTGCTGAAGTTCAATTGATCTGATGAACTTTGATTTCCTACGGTGTTTTACAATTTTCTCTTCACCAACACCCAATGTTTATCACTTAAGTCAACGAACCAGTTGGGCTAGCTATTTTTCTCTCGAAACTCTATACAGAGATTTTTAAGGAGGATGGTACGACACTCGAATTGCAAACATGTTGAGAAAAGCAGCTCAGTCGGTCTAATGGGTTAGGAAGCAAAAAGCCAGCTATATTTCCATCAAGTGCTAGTTCTCACACATTATTAACTCCTGGAAATGCCTCCAGTAGGTAGTGTCTCTCCTCAGACAGCTCTTTTAAGAGTGGATGGGTAATCCCAACGACCCAGTAGAAAACCCAAAATATAAGTTGTAGACCTTTAGTTGTCAATCAATATGTGAATGTGAATCCACCATTTATCTTAATGAGGTGTATAGGTTCCCTCAGTGAGTAGTAGTGTCTGGATCTTCGATTGAATCATTTAAAAAGGGAAGAGAAAAGCAAGCAGATCTGTTTGACACGAACCTTAAGCCATATACTTTCAAGTGGAATTCTATGTTTGAAGGCTACTACCAGGATGCGGGTATGTCAAATGTCGCGCTACTAAGGTTGATGGCCTGCCGTCGAGCGGCCTCAGTGTATAGGCACTGTGAATTTGCGATTCAAGTTCGTTTTAATTATTAACTCAATGTAGAATTTTAGAGGCTGACACACTCTAGTGTTTATCTCTCACGTCTTCCTGATGATCATTCCAAACAGGTTTTGCATGACGCTCTCGAAGATGTGCAGTCAATTGTGTCAGAGATAAAAGAGGTAACACCACTATAAAACCTAACTGCGATTCACTTGAAGAGCTTTGTCACTGAGATTCCTCAATTTCAGAAATTGCTGCAGTATCAGTTTAATTCTCAGGGAAAACTTGTTCGTCCACTGCTTGTTACTTTAGCAGCTGCCTGTGCTAATGCTCATACACCACATAAATATGTCTCCAGCAAAAGATATGACTGTTCTGAGTTGAAACGTTCCAGGAATCTAAGTATGTTGCCTGCTTACACATAACCTGTGTAGTAGATCTAGTGTCACCCAAACAGCACGAGATCGCTAAAATTACAGAAATGATTCACACAGCCAGTCTTATTCACGATGACCTGATTGATTCTGCGTATATTCGAAGAGGTAAAACGTCGGCGTATAGAGCTTTTGGACATAAGAAGGTCAGTAAGACAATTAGTTTTCATAATTTTCACTATTTTTTTGCTATAAAACGTTCTATTTGTGATATCTCAGCTATTGCATCAGTTTGTATATCAAGTACTGCATTGCAATTGAGAAGTGTACAAAAACCCTACTAAATGTGGCGTGAGCGTCTGCAAGCTCCTTTGTCAAACAAAATATCGGGTTTATGAAAAGTTGATATAAGCTGCAATTCTCAAGTTAGAATGGTAAAATATATGTTAGAGACTTACTAGAATCCAGTTAAATACTTGCATATTTACGCAAGATATTGCACACTGTGAAGAAAAAGTTCGTTGATGTGGTTCACTCAATTAGAAAGTGTTCATTTCTTTAATCTACATGTTGATACATGTGTTTATCATGAGTAGAGTTCAAACATCTGACATTACCAAGATGAGACCTATCTTCGGGTTTTGGATAGTTCTTTTTCGAGACCGTATGCCGAAGTAGTTGATTCTACTAACAAAAAAATATTTCTAAGGATGTGCCATTAGGACATACTTAGTTTCATCCTATACTAATTTTAGCTTATCACTCTGTGACTGCTACGGACTGAGCCACTATGATTCTGTTAACATCTACCAATTCTGGTCGATTTCTAGTAATCTTCTTATAAGAACCCTCGACTATTTTCCTTACTAGTCGTCCCTAAATATGATTTATGGAATACTGAGGGTGTCACTAGGTAATATTAGCAAGTTTACTTCGTTCTCTGACAAGTGCTTTTTGGTTTCCCCCTTATGTACTTATTTGATATTTTTGTATTTTGTTTTCGCATCCATGAATGTGGATCAACCAGCAGTTGTATTTTGAATGAAATCAGTTTCCTTGTAGTTATACGTTGGTTTATGTTTGTCTAAATGTTATTTAAATGATGAGCTGGTTAAGTCAACTTCAGTTGAGTAGTCGTTTCTCTCTAACCCTTAGTGGTGTTTCCACAATCAAGAACTTTCTGAATTTAACAATGAGCATTTGACATATCTGATTCCTCGGCAAGCCGAAAGGCACAGTTTAGACACTGGAGAAATACAGTGCATTGTCAATTCACACTTCTTGAGAAGTTTAAGGTATCGCTCGAACGCACAGATACAGAAGCCTCTGATTGCTTTAGGGAGTCGATTTCCAAGTCTTTGATGTAAAGTAAGACCCACGTGGCTGCAGAAGAAGGTGTAGAGGTGTTTTCCCATGGTTGGAAATGACCAAAATAAGCCCTTACACCGTTTGTTTTCTTTGGATTCTGGAGCCTTTGGTTGTCATATGTATGAGGTCAGGGTTTTCAACACCTGGGTGAACCGTTCAAGCCTAAGTGTTGCATTATTTTCATTTACCCTTTCACTTCCGTAGGACCAGCTCCCCCCTCTACGTGACAATATCTACATTTCACGCTAATGTATCTCACTCTGTCTGATCTGTATACTTTTTAATCAAATTTTATTCCCGTTAAAAAAGAACATTCAGTTTTCAACTAATTCACAGGAAATGAATTTCCCGTTCATAAAGCTAGCTGATGACAAGAATTTCACTATGAATAAAACTTCTTTTGATGAACTTAGTTCAAATATGAATATTCATTATGGGTTTGATTGTCATTCAGGTTTCGCAGTTGTGTATTTTTTTAACGTACGATTCTTAATAACCAACATTTCATTCATTTCGGGATTGTCATGCAGGAATCATAATATGAGAAACCGTAAATGTTCACTTTACTATAATTACCAACAAAAGCAGCTTGTATCATTTTCAACATTTTGTTTTGTTTGTTTATTGACTAAATTTTTGAAAGTATGGGTATTCAGTGTTTTTTGCTTTGTATACACTTCTGTCAGGCCATTCTAGGAGGCGATTATATACTCACGCATTCATCGCGTTTATTAGCCCAAATTGGTGACACCAGAGTGATATCAGTTCTTTCTGAAGTTATTGAAGATCTAATTCATGGTTCGTTTACTGCGCATCACTTGCTAAACATCTTTAATTTATAGGTGAAATGATGCAATTAACAGCCAACAGCGATGATGATGATAAACGATTTCAAGCGTATTTAACAAAAACCTATCGCAAAACAGCAAGTCTTATTGCTAACAGTTGCAAAGCAGTAAGTCGTTTACTTTTTCAAAAGGTTTGTTAGTATTCATAAAATTTCCATAATTATCATAATAGTTTCTGTAGTCAAAATACCCTAGAATGTTTCATATTCAGTCATAATTCTTTTTTTTTAAAGATAGTTTTATCATTTTCAACTTCTTGGAAGTGGATTTACTCTGCGTTTCTGACTTCCGTTTTATGTTAACGACGGCGGGCATCATTCTTTTGCATTCACGAAGATTGATTCGATTAATTAGATTATTTCTTTGTGAAAATACATGTCCCAATATTTAGGAGCTAAAGATCGCCTAAAAATCATCGATTGCTGATTTGCGGGACTTGTCCTACAAATGTCTTATAAACTAAAGTGAAATACAAAAAGACGACTAATTTTTATAATTATCCTAAATTCAGATAAAGCAATAAGAAGACGTAATTTGTCTGAATCGTGTAATGTATTTGCGCAACACATTTCGAACAATCTGATCACACACGGACTTGTCATCACATTAAACCTTCCTTGGTAAATTTTGTTTTGATACCATAGCATATGTACTATTGTAACAACAGAAGACAAGGGCCAGGCAACAGATCGTTTTATTATGAAAATCAACACGTATTTATACATATTTCACATACATTATTATAGCTTATGCAAGTAGACAAGCGCAGTTATCTGATTGGTTGTTTATCAGAAGTTAGGCAGACAAACGCAGGCTTCTGATTGGTTGTTTCGGGATTCCTCGACAAATAGAGTTCTCTATCTGCGAATCATATTTTGCCACGTTAACTTTGCTGTGATTGGTTGTTGAATCAGCCTTGCTCATATTTTCTCACGGCCTGCTCTCACCACACTATTACCTCTGCTATTTGGTTTAGTGGTCTTCATTTTTATTTTGACCTTGAATGTCCTTTTAACTTGACCTAAGTCTATTTTTCTCACCTCTTACCTCTTTATTAATTAATTATATATATATATATATATATATATTCCTATGACAAGTCCGTGTGTGATCAGATTGTTCGAAATATGTTGCGCAAATACATTACACGATTCAGACAAATTACGTCTTCTTATTGCTTTATCTAAATTCATAAAGGGAACTAACTGTTTTAAATTTTTAAAGAGAAGGCTCCCTCCACACAATATCCTAAATTCACTAATAGCATTCGCATGTTATTAGATTGCTTAAACAGTCTACAACTGGCGTCCTTTTGGTATATGTTAGGAATATCTTGAGTGTGTGAATAGATTACATCAAGAGCTGGAATCTTTGGATTATTCACAAGATTGGAAAGTTAGCACTGAAGACCAATGAGCTCTTTTAGAACCTAATCTGTCTCCACGAATACCTTACGATATTACGGCAGTATACTATTACTCACCTTTCATTATGTCGGTGACTAATAGCGTCAACTATAGAAAGTGTGTTGCCACTTAACTACTGCATTTTTAGCAGATACCTTAGAATTTTGACGTGATTTGAATTTGTTTCATAGATCCCATATATCAAGTTAGATTTGCTTCATCCTCTTATTTCGACTTGAATTTCCTTTCCAGGTTACTATGTTAGCTGTTCCAGCAGTGTCATCGCGACATATTGACAATATGTATGAATTCGGTAGACATTTAGGCATGGCATTTCAGTTGATCGATGATGTATTGGATTTTGTCACAGACGAGACTAATTTGGGTAAACCTAGTGGAGCTGATCTACAAATGGGTATTGCAACTGGACCTGTGTTGTTCGCTGCTCAAAGAGTAAGTTCTATTTTAAGTTAATAGTAGATTGAATCTATATCATACTTGTTAAACAGTCAATAAGCTTTTGAGCTTTAATTAATATAAAAGTGGTAGTTATTTCCTTACGATAATTTGCGGAAATTACCCATTGTCACCCGGTGGATTTCTTATCTTATTGTAGATTTGGTGCACTTCTGATATTTTTATAGGAATCATTCTTCATTCTCACCTGTTATATTGGGTTAATTATTTGTCTGGACGCACCCGTACAATAATAAAAGGTGACACCTGTTGAAAACTATCTAGAAAGCATTGTCTTAAATAAAATTGAGCATAATGTACAATGGTTAAGTATATAAAGTTAATCAATTTTTCATCGGTAGTTTATCGGTAGAACGCCCACCGACCACGCCAGAGGTCTGGCTTTCATTCCTAGCTGAAGCACACCCTTAAATCTCCCATAGCCAACAGGAAGGCAGAAAAAGAGGAAGTGTTGGACGTGGAGATAGCGATTCCACCTGCTGCACTCAGCATAAGAAACAAGATTTGAAATTTTAACAATAATGTCAAGTGGATGCTTCTGTATATGGTTCATAGACTTGTAGAGTCTCACGAAAAGCATTTCCAACAAGCTACTGCAAACTTTTATCAACAGCTGTCTTCGTCACAAGTCAACCATCACACAATAAGTGCGCTTCACAGCCTAGCTTGAGCTTTGAAGTTCCAGTAGCAGTGGCTGTTGTTTTAATGGTGGAGGGTGAAACTGCTACCTCCACTTCCAACATTTCCTCTTTTTCTGACTTCCTGTTGGCTAGGGGAGGTTTAGAAGTGTGCGTCAGATGGGGATTGAAACGCCTCCATACCATTGAACCTTGAAGGTGTAGCTTATGACATAAATAGTATGAAACAGATAGATAAAGTGTCTATCTGTGGTTGGTCAAATAATAAAATTGATTAATTGTAAACATCCATCTCTCTGTATTTAAAAATGATCAACATGAAGTAATCAAGGACACACATAAGTCAACAAAGAGACTTCTTTTTGTAACTCCACTTCAGAGCTGTACAATTATGTAGGCGGTTTATATATAAACGGTATTAATTTACAAAGGTGGTCACTGGTTATTGTCAGTTAGTAACACGGGTAATCTATAATTAGTAAATGCTAACAGATCACGCGTGTTGTGTGTGACTGTCAATTGACGGAAAGAGCACGTACTCAAATCAGATTAATAATTTGCAGATTATTCTGCAATCGTGCAAATTAATTTGCAATTTACATATTTTGAGGTGATTACTTCACAATAGTTTGCTTTGAAAATCGAGGTTATTCAGACTATAGTACGTGATTTGCTTGATACTTTAATCGGTAATCAAGAAACCAAGCGTTAACACGTAAAACTAGGTGCTACTGATTGATTGGGATCAGCGGTTTTATAACACTCGCATCAGCCAGTAGTGTAGCGAAACGGCCGTCTAGTTCTTAAGATCACTTCGATCTGGCTAGCATACACTACTGCCTGGTGTGAATGCAATACAACTACTCATCTCTGTCAATCACTAGTATGTAGTTAGAATCATGTACTGTTTGGTTGTCTTCCTTTTACTATACATTGGATGAGTTTTGCTTCGATCGATGAAACATTTGATGAATCAGTAGCCAAAAGGTTAATCATTGTTTTATTGATGATATTTTCTAGTTGAGCAGGCCGATACGGTAAAATTTTATTTCCAAGTCAGCAAACTATAGATTTTATCATATTATAAGCTAATATATATCTGTAGATTATGATAAAGCCTAAACACTATGTATGATATTTTGTTAGAACTTGGGCTTTCGATTATACGTATATCTATTCCTATTGAGTTTTCTAAAGTTGGGTGATAAAAGGTGTGCTGAAGCTAATGAAATGCAGGTTATGCCGAAAAGATGCACGAAATAACTGAGTTGAAAGTTCCCTATCTGCAATGTGGAGATATGGATTATTGGTTCAAGGACTCAGCTTTGATCCAATGCATCCCGAGTTCAAATCCTGCTACGCCCATATTAGCCGGGGCATCTGGGTAGTAACATCAACCCTCACACAAAATATGTGTGACTCATAGCCCAGTACTTGGTAACTCATTTTTAACTAAATACCTACAATATCCTACCAAACATAGTGAGGTCTACGGTCTTTCTGTTACAGTAAATGTTCGTAAATTTCACCACTACATGAATGCAAAGACTATCAAAATAACACATCTAAAGGCACTATTTTGTCTTTATGCCCAAATATCGACGTAAAACATTTCCTCCACGTTATAACACTAGTTTCTTTGTGTACCAATTAACCGTTAATAAAAATGTAAATATTGTCCATAATCCGTGAGAGGCGTAGAAGTTTTAGGTTGATTCAAATGTGGAAGTCTAGACTAGTATAATGCTTAGAACTCCTAAACTGTCATCAGACACATGATATTCTCTGAATTTATTTTGTCTTTTATTTTTCAGTATCCTGAACTCAATGCTATACTCCTACGTCAATTTAGTTTGGAGGGAGATGCTAAAAGAGCTTTGGAATTAGTTCAACAGGTAATTGAGTATATTCTTTTTCCTATGGATATCAATTCGCTAAGTGAATGTGCTAAATTGAGTAGTGGTTTTCTTTTAATAAACTATGGTCCTTACACACTGATATGACTGTATTTATAACTTCATCACTTCACTAGTATTTGATCTCATTCACTTACTCCACTAACTGATCATGTTTCAACTTGCCTTACTACTATTATGTATTTGGTGGCGGTCAACAAAGAAATATAATACTAGCGTTTTATCCTATCCAGCACTCGTCGGCCGCATATACTCTGAATCCAGTAAGACTAACATAGGACCCATCACCAAATTGTTGTACACCACTGAGCTACAAGTGGGCATTCTTCTACAAAAGGTATCAGTTGTTTACATTTCTAAATTCTTGTTTTCATACATATTCATATAGAGTAATCGGCGTTTCTTGTCGTATGAACTATTTGCACAGATGACCGAAAGTACGCATTGAGTCATGAATAAAATAAAAACAGATTCAGCGAAGAAAATTTCTTTTATCGACGAAATCATCTACAGAGGCTGTACAGTAGTATTTATACTTATAAAAATGTATAGTGGTCTATTATTGAGTAATAGGGGGTGACATAATTGATATAATTAATCACAAGTGACTTTAGAAGTGAAAAGAATTAAAAGTTGTATATTACATGGTACTCAACGGAACAAAGATAGAAGTTTGATAAGGTTAAAATTGCTCTTGAGTGAGAATAAAGGTATTTGAGTGTCAATTTAACAGGTGTGAAGAGGGTGTGAAAATATACAGAATTAGCATATAAAGCTGATAATAGTGAATAAATTATTAAAGCAGAAGCAAACTAAAAGTAAAATTAAAAATTGAAAACAAAAGAAACAATCAAAAATGTTTTTTTACAGGGAACGATTAGTGAAGAGGTTAAGATCAAGGTAGAATAAGAGACTGGACAAACTTTTTCGGTATACACAGTTCAGGGTTGTTTTGATGAATTGCCAGCGCCTCCGCCATACACAAAAGCCGAAACCTGACGCTCTTTGTACCATTTGGCTTCACTTTGTAGGTGATCTTGAAAGACGGCTCTGGTGGAGCTACGTGGCCTGAGTTCACCAAATGCTCGAGAATTGAGCTAGTAATTGTCTTGCATTGTCCCTTTGCTAACCATGCCGGATAATGTTCAGAGATGCGTTTGGAAAGCGTGCGCTTTGTGCGGCCAATATAACTAGCTCCACACGAGCAGGTGAATTTATAAACACACATTGAAGTGGCCCAAAGCGGCAGTTTATCCTTCACACATCCGTTGATCATTTTTCGGCTGTAGAAATTGATACGTAGCTCAGCCATAAAGAAGGCTTTCCTCAGTGATCTGCATAAGCGATTCTTCAAGATCTCAGCTGCAGTATCACCTTTAAATTCAACACTCATAAAGAGCAGTTTCTTCGGCACCATCTGGATTCTTTCAGGCTTTTCTCTTAACTTCATGTTTTTCTCGATAAATCTTGGAGGATATCCATTCCCTATGAGAACTTGTCTGAGTCGCTCCAGTTCCCCATCGATTGTATCACTTGAATATATCCTCCTTATTCTTGAGGATAAGGAATGGATCAAATTTCTCTTTCTTCTCAATGGGATCCAGCTATGGAAATTTGTGTACTGACCATTCCATGTTGGTTTCCTGTAGATCGATCTTTGAAGAGAACCATCAGATCTCCTCTTTAGAAAAACCTCCAAAAAATGGAATTCCGAGTTAATCTCTGATTCCGACGTGAACTTGATGGCATGATGGCAGCTGTTGAACTCCTTAGTTATCAATTCGATGTCGGTGTTGTCGTCACATATGATAAAAGTATCATCCATGTAACTTTGGTACAGATGGAAACTGTCGATAGTAGGCCGTAAAATACCATTCTCCAAACCAGCCAAGAAGCAGTCTGCAAGTAAAGGACCTAATGGTGACCCCATTGCCACTCCGTCTCTTTGTCTATAAATCGTGTTGTTGAACTTGAATTGGACATTTAGAGTGCACCTCAAAAGTAGTTCCTTTAAGTAGTGGATCGGAACACATACGTCTACATTATTATCCTCAATGAATTTGCATATAAAGCAGATAGTTTCAGTGAGGGGAACGTTGGTGAAAAGCGAAGTAACATCCATAGATATCATTTTCTTCCCGGATACATTAGCATCATCGACGAATTCAAACGAGTCAGAAACACTATGCTTGCAGAGGTTATTTCTGATAGGTAGGATGATTTCTGTGAGCCATTTGGCAGTAGCATGATATGGGGAATTTGTCATGTCCAAGATTGGACGTAGTGGCACATTCTCTTTGTGCACTTTCAGTAGACCATATAAGCGGGGAATCACGGAACCGGAGGGTTGTATTTGCTCGAATAATTCAGAGCTAATAATCGATTTGTTCTTCATATTCTTTAGCATTTGTGTTAGCTTGCTTTCAGTTTGTTCCGTTTGGTCTTTCTGGCTACTTTCTTTTGAAAATTTGTTTTCATCTGACAAGACTGATAACATTTTATCGATGTAGTCTTGGCAATCCATCAGTACAATGCCAGAACCTTTGTCGGGGCGTGTCACAACCAAGTCTTTGTTCTTTAGAATCTCACGCAGTTACTTTCTGTGCTCGGCTGAAATTAATCTTCTGACGTTTGGTTTCGTGTTGATGTACTGATGGCAACCATTTAATACTTTAGACTTGAATTGTTCATATGATTTGTTGGACGCTGCAGAAAGGTCATTTGTCTGTTGGATCAGTGCTTCAAACTGGACTTTGATATTGATATGTATCCATATAATATGTGAGTTTTGTTTGACAGTCTGTTCTTGGTGATATGTATCCATATAATATGTGTGTTTGTTTGACAGTCTGATATATTTTGCTATGTATATATGGATTGATATCCCATTATAATTAGCCAATCATGTCAAGACTGTCTATTGATTTGTTCATTTTGAATATTCGCTCACACATTTGTTCGGACATTCATATATCTTTGCTCTCACACACTTGTGTGATATTGATTCTCCTGGTGTTTTGGAAAATAGAAGTATCATCGCAAACCTAGTGGTCTTCTGATTTCCGTCCTTCTTGCGTCAGGACTATTAAATTCTCAACCAGTACATAACAATAATTTGGTGACGGGGATGGGATGGATCCTTCTAAATTGGAATTACTATTTGAACGACAAATGAAATTAATGGAAATGTTCGTCTACCAACAGACTGGTCCAGCTTCACCTTCAAGCAATCTGAATCATACCATGCTACCATCTGTCGACGGCATTGTGAATAGTATTTCACAGTTCAATTATAATCCAGATGCGAATGTCACTTTTGACACATGGTATCAACGATATGAGGATTTATTCACAGTTGATCTCGCCTCACAAGACGATGCTTGGAAGGTGCGAGTGTTATTACGTAAATTGGGTCCCGCAGAATATGAAAGGTACTGCAACCTAATTTTACCCCAAAAACCACGTGACAAGTGTTTCGATGATACAATAAAGCTGCTGCGTGAACATTTTGGAGACCACTCCTCATTATTCAGCATACGTTATCGTTGCCTCAAGCTGACAATGAATGAAAATGATGATTTTCTTACTCACGTTGGCACAGTCAACCGAGAATGTGAGAGATTTCGACTCAGGTCCTTAACAGATGATCAATTCAAAGCCTTGATTCTCATATGCAGTCTTCAATCTCCTCGTTTCACAGATATCCGAACTCGACTGCTCAATCAGCTAGAACAAAATCCTAAGTTAACATTACATGACATAGCTGATGAATATCAACGGCTGATTAATTTGCAGAAAGACACACACCTGGTCGAATCAACACCTTCGAGAAGCTCTGATATTCGTGCATTACGCAAGAGCAAAAATCTCTCATCAGCTACTCCTGACCCACCTACTTCTCCTAATGTTCCGCGGAAATCTACACATACTCGTCCAACTTCACAAAATACTGCAAAGAAGACCCCTCCATCACCATGCTGGCATTGTGGCGCGTGGCACTTTGTAAAGTCTTGTCCATACAAAAATCATCGTTGCAGCAAGTGCAAAATCATTGGTCATAAATCCCCAAAAAAGTCATTGAGTCTAGTCGCAACCCGTCAAGTCACAACACCAGGTATGCGGAAATATCTTGATCTTCAGATGAATGGTCATGATACCCGTCTGCAGCTAGATACCGCCTCTGATATTACTGTTATATCAGAGAAACTCTGGAATGATATTGGCGGACCACCTATCACAAATACTTCCCAGACTCTTGTCAGCGCCTGTGGTAGGCGGCTCAAACTAATTGGTGAACTCAAATGTTCTGTTTCATTCCGTAACATCGAATTCAGAGGAATCTGCTACGTCACCAAGAGTGATTTAAATCTTTTGGGACTTGATTGGTTCGATCGTTTGCATCTGGCTGATGTCCCACTAAATTTGCTATGCAATGCAGTCAAGAAGCATAAAATGTCAGACAATTCCGGACGAAGCCGAAGCCGCAAACCCAACAGGCAGACGAAGCGACAGACGTCAACTACAAGTTCAACGGTTCCAGATAACCCCCCAAGAAAACACCCTACTAATCATCAATCTTCTCAAAAGGGGAGGTGATATGTATCCATATAATATGTGTGTTTGTTTGACAGTCTGATATATTTTGCTATGTATATATGGATCGATATCCCATTATAATTAGCCAATCATGTCAAGACTGTCTATTGATTTGTTCATTTTGAATATTCGCTCACACACTTGTTCGGACATTCATATATTTTTGCTCTCACACACTTGTGTGATATTGATTCTCCTGGTGTTTTGGAAAATAGAAGTATCATCGCAAACCTAGTGGTCTTCTGATTTCCGTCCTTCTTGCGTCAGGACTATTAAATTCTCGACCAGTACATAACAGATATCCAAGTCACTCGAATTTGTCGAAATATCACAGAATTTTGGAACCAACGACAAGGCTTGCAATTGGACAGGAGTCAATGATA